CTTACAAACTCGATCTACCCGACACACTTCGTAACGTACATTCTACATTCCACATATCTAACTTGAAAAAGTGTCTATCCGACGAGACTCTTGTAATCCCACTCGACGAGATCGAGATCAACGATAGCCTCAACATCATGGAGGAACCAGTAGAATTCATGGACCGAGAGGTCAAGCAAACCAAGCAAAGTCGCATCCCTATCGTGAAGGTCCGCTGGAATGCAAAGCGGGGTCCTGAATTCACATGAGAACGCGAAGATCAGATGCAACGAAAGTACCCACATCTGTTTCCCTAATCCACAAGTGTTTTCTTACTTTAAATTTCGGGATGAAATTCACTCTAACGGGGGGATGATGTGACAACCCGATATTTCAACTCTTTGTAGTGACCTAAAAAAGTCAAGTATTGTAACCACTTTTGAGTTAATAAAATTAACTTCGATATTAAAAAGTCCAAAAAGTTCCTATTTAAATTCTTCTATGTTTAAATGTCATCAAACCATGATCGTACGTAAAAAGAACGTCCAAATCCGACTTCGTATATTGAAGTTATGATTTTTCCAAGTTCAGCTTACCAACAGACAACTAAAAACTCGAATCGGAGATCGAGCGACTTTTGGCCGAAATGACCTAAACGAGAATCGAAGGTCTCGTCAATGGTATTTCAGCGGTAAAACGTCTGGCAAAAACCGACATCAGATAAAGAAGTTATGAATTTTTAAAGAAATTCCTTAATCACATCATTTTAATAAATAAATAATAAAAATAATTTCGGAATTTGCCAACGGAATCTAAACGAAAGTTGTAGATCGTAGTCTCACCTTCGCAGGGATATAAAGAACGTCGAAAACGGAGTTCGTATGAAGGAGATATGAATTTTTGAAGTTTGATAATTAATTTATATATAATTTTTATTAAAAAGTTGGTATTATCCGAAGAGGAGTCAGCTTAGGGCCGAGGTACGCACCGCGTACTCGAGGCCACGGCCTCGGACCGTCCACGTCGCCCCATCCGAAATACGTAAGCGATGACGTCGCGTACGCGCGTACGCCCCGCGTACGGAGGCGGTTCAGCGCCCCTATAAAAGTGGTGCGAGGGTTCCGAAATTTTTTGCTCATTTTCTCTCTTTCTCTCACGATCTTGCCTCGATTTCCGTGCCCGTTCAAACCCGAAGCTCTGGTCCTTTTGCTCAAGTCCCGAGGGTCGATTTTACTCCCGAGATTCCCGAGAATCCCGAGAAAAATCCATTTTCCGAGACGAAACTCTGCCCGGTTTTCCATCTCGCTATCTTCAAACTTCCAAGTCAGTTCATACCCCCTTAAATCAACCTTTGAAATGATTTTAAATGTTTAAATACTTTTTTTGGGGGGGGGGGGGAATACAAGTTAAATACTTATAGTTATTGCTTCGATCACATATGATTGCATTAATCACATGTGATTAATAACTAGGAAACTGATGATTTTATCACTGTTCAAACTGTTTTACTTCAAAATGTTTTACAAACTCTTTTACTTATCAAATGCTTTTGTTTAAACTTTGCTTTACTACTTGTAAATTGCATGCCCATATATGTATAGATATATAAGTAATGTTTAAAGGGCTTAGGAAGGCCATCCGCCCTATTTCCTTTTCGCGCACTGAGATGTGGTCTGGTGGGATTTCGGGTCACCATCCGAGGGTCGTTTCAATATTAGTTATATATCATATATACATATATAGACATAAAAGTACTTCCATACTCATACTCATCAGCACATCATTAGTAAGTTACCATCGGGGTAACACAGGATCATACTACTACAATTTCTAGATCAACGAGTCAGTTCATTCAGGAGTCAATACTTATTACTAAGAGAACATATACAACGATACTAGAACAAGTAACATTATATTACATATACACGAATACGTTAACAATTGTGATCCACTGTATGGGAGCATGTCTTAATTGTCATGACCCAAGTTGTAGCCAGAGTCTCTTGGAGGGAGAGCGTGAGTTTGCGTATAGATCTATACTGGATTGACTATCCTACACCTCGCTGCTAGCTACAGTGGGACCGACAGGTCTGCGGGTGCCAAACGTCATACCTTATTTTTCGAATATACGTTGCCGTTGTTACCAGTCGATAGTATGGTGGAATTTATCACATGATACCTTAATATAAACCCGGTTTAAGGTAGTTAGTATAGCAGTAGTTCCTATAAAACAAAACTACAATACTACAATGATTTACGCATTACATTTTGGTGATAACCTCACTTAAACTTTAATGTACAAACTATATTTTGTTAAAAGATAGTTACACTTGGGAAATTACACACTTTTACATCAAATGAGCATACAAAACAGTTAAGCCTTGGTAGAAGGCTACTTTAACAGAAAATATAGGTTTTTCTGAGAGATTCAAACTTTTACAAACACTTACATACATTTACAACTCATACTTGCAACAGGTTCAAACGTTTTGATAACAAACACCGACACTAAAATACTTATGAATTCACCAGCTTAATGCTGATAAACTCTTTCAAAATAACTTGTATTCTCAGGTCATCAGTAGGTAGGTACCGATGCCAGCTTTTGAGAAGATGGAGCGCATTTCAAGACTCATCATATTATTTTGATTCGCATTATATTTTTGGTGTCTAAAACTGTAAATAACACGCTTGTATTAAAATTTTATATTTAATGCAATGGATGATGTTGTTTGCTTATTTACATTTACTGTGTTGTGATACTTTACATGACGTCCTCCGCCCCAGAACGTTTCTGCCGTTCTTGGTTTTGGGGTGTGACAATATATATATATATATATATATATATATATATATATATATATATATATATATATATATAAAGAGAGAGAGAGAGAGAGAGAGAGAGAGAGAGAAGTTGAATTGAGAAATATTAAAAAGGTTGAGAATAAGGAAATCATTTTCAACTAATCATTTATTTTTAGCCCCAAGGCCTCCAACGTAACGTCGAAAATGGAAAATCAATACACATAGGTTTTCCAACAAAACATTTTACTTAAACTATGATAATCATTACCTTAATATATACAAAAACATAGTTTTTTTGTTTTTATCTTTTATTTTTAAGGAGCTACTTTTATCGAAAAATAATTCTAAATATATTAAAATTCAAAATTATTTATTCTCTATAAATAGACATCCATATTAGTATACTTTCAAGATAAAATAAAATTTTAATTTTTTTTTATAGTTTCAGCTCTTGTTATTCATAAGTGAAAAAAATACATCAGATTTTTAATACAAGACATTCGTTATTCACTTATGAATAAAAAGTATAATTATTTTTTTTGAGTTTAAATATCATTCATATATAAATATAACATATATAAACTCTTAATAATTTACATCTGTTCTCGTCGTATGTTATAATCACATATGAATAAAACGTCTATTAGTCTTCTTCACAAGTTATATTCATATATGAAAAACACATTTATCATAATTTTGTTAAAGTTGATTTGTTATTCATATATGAATAAGTAGTTCAAATGTTTAAAACACGTCGTCTTATATTAACATACTATATATTCATATTCGAATAACAAATAAACGTATTCTAACAAAAATCTGATAAATTTTTTATTTATATATGAATATAATATATGACGGTCATTAATACATATTTTATTTATATATAAATATAACGTGTGACGAAAGATGATATAAAAATATATTTTAAGTAAAAAAATTTTATTACGTGTTATATTTATGTATGAATGATATTAAAAATGTAAAAAAGTTAAGCATATGTTTTATTCATAAATGAATAACGAATGTATTGCAATAAAAATTTAATCGATTTTTATTCACTTATAAATAACGAAAACTGAAACTCTAAAAAATATAATTTTTTTTCATTTTATCATAAAATTTTATTAATATGGATGTCTATTTATGTAGAATAAAAAATTATGAATTTTGATATATTTAATATATATATATATATATATATATATATATATATATATATATATATATATATATATATATATATATATATATATATATATATATAAATAGCTTTCTAAAAATCAAAAAAAAAAATGTTTTGTGTATATTAAAGTAATTATTAACATAGTTTAAAAAACCATGTTTGGTTGGAAAACACATGTGTATCCGTTGTCTATTTTTGTCGGTACGATTAAGTGTTTTAGTGCAAAACAAATATGTAACTGAAAATGATTCCTTCATGTCAATTTTTTTTTCTCAATTGAACCCTTCTCTTTCTGTCTGTGTATATATATATATATATATATATATATATATATATATATATATATATATATATATATATATATATATATATATATGAAACCATAGATTTTTACTCAGAATCATAGGTTACAGTTTGGGAAACCGTAATAAGTCGATAGGAAACTGAAGGTTATAAAATAACATACACTTTTAGATGTTCGAAATGAATTTCTTTTATAGTAAACTCGAAACAGTAAACTATTTAGCGAAACAGTAAACCATTCTAATTAACTATGGTTTCGTGGATTATTTTTGGACAATTGCTATTTTTTTTGCTAAAAATGATTAAGTAATTAATTAAATAGGGTAGTGTAGTCATTTTCTCACAAATAAGGTTATGTTGCTCATTCATCTATACGACCATATCTTGTATACATTTTTTATATGATGTTTAGATGAAAGGATAGGGTAATTAATAAGTTGGCATCATTTTAAAAGTTTCTAAAGTAAACATTGCTTTTTATTCTTATCCTATATTTTAATCTACCACCTTTAGTAGCTAAGGACTTGCTTGATGCTTTAATCAAGGTATCAACTTTTATTTATAAATTTTGTAATTGGTTTTCTTCAGCAAAACTATCACCGGATAATTCCGTTACTTTTAGGTATGTTTTTGTTTTTTTTAATCACATGTACTCGATCTATTATTATATAATTTTTTTTTCTAACTCACTCGTTATAGATTAAAATAAGCAACTGTGTTCTTAATGGCAACAAGCGATGTGGAGGTTGGAGGAGGAGATAGCATTTTGCGTTCTGTCAAATTTCTACTTGATTGTAAAGAAAAAGGACGAAATCATGGCAATCGACGTCCACCATCAATTTTCATTGTTCCAAGAGTTTACCGAGATCTCAGCCCAACATGTTTTAACCCAAGGCTAGTCTCTATTGGACCTCTCCACAGAAAAGACAAAGATTTGCAAAAATTTGAAGTTCAAAAAATGACTTATTTACATCATTTACTAGATCATTCGGGTTCCAACCCAGAGCAAACGTTACAAGAATGTGTGCAAAAGGTGATTCTAAAAATTGAACAAATCAAGTCATGCTATGAAGAGACGACCTACAACGATGAGGAACTTGCTACAATGATGGTAATAGATGCTTGTTTTATCCTTTACTTCATTCATCTTATTTCAGTAGAAGCCGGCGGATTTCAAGGAAACTGGTCGATTATACCATTAATAGTTCATGATATGGTGTTGATAGAAAACCAAATCCCATTTTTTGTTCTTAAAGACATCATTGAGTCTACTTTTCCTCATTTTAAACCAAATACCTCTCTCACTCACCATCTCAAAATACTTCTCGAAAGGTACTCTTTCTTTATGGAATATGAAGTAACAAACAATATCAACCTAGATAAGACTCCCGATCATATCCTTGGCATTCTGCACTATTGCTTACAGCCTGTCCATCACCCATTACCATATTCTGAAGTTCCAATGGAACAAAAAAGACACTCGGCCATGGAACTGGATAGGGCAGGGGTTAACTTTATGCCTAATGAAGATGCAAATTGGGCAATGGCCATGAAACTAGAATTACCAAGGTTCTCATGCTTCCCATGGTTTTGGTGTAAACCTACACTAAGGATGCCAAAACTATATGTGGATGATTACACTGAGTTGCTTTTAAGGAACCTCATACTATACGAGCAGTGTACTCTAGTTCCTGAGTACGTTACATCATATTGTTGGGCTATAGATATGTTAGTAGACACTCCAGAGGATGTTGCCAAGTTGATAAAATCAGGGGTCCTGGTCAACGATTGTGGGTCAAACGAGAGCGCTGTGTATATTTTAAACAACATATGCAATGATATCACATCAGATGTTTTTTATTACTATCAAGAGTGGGAACGGTTGGATACATACTACAAGAGTTACTGGCCCAATGCTGCTGCAGGGTTGAAGCGTACATATTTCAGTAGTCCATGGAATATTATTTCAGTATTCGCTGCGATCATTTTGTTTGTTCTTACCCTTATTCAGACCATCTTTACATTCAAGTGTTAGAAATGGATATTAAAGTTATAGCTTGACATAGCTTGATATAGCTTGATATAACTTAGTCATAACTTGACGTAGTTGATCATGCATTGTCTTACTTTCACATGAGAGAAATTGTAGGAAGGTGTAATACCCTCTAGTATATATAGAGGTGTTAAGTGTCATGTAAATCATCAAGAAAGATCAATATACACAAGTAACTTCTATATATTGTGTTGATTTAATTTCTTTTGTCAGTTACAACGTCGTATCATTAAGCTTCAGGTGCCCGTTCTCTGTTTTTTTGTCATTTTTTTGCCTCAAAATAGATTTCTGGGCACACCATTAGAATGGTCCCGTTTTAAGGATTCCGAAAATATTTTTTTGATAATTTTTCGACCACCGGAGGACCTCGAAATTGCTGGTCTAAGGTTCGTTGAAATAGCTACCAGAAAACCGAGAAGAAGGCCGGAGAAGACGAAGTAGGTCGGCGTGACATCACAGTGACGTCATCATTAACCGGACTTTCGAAATTTTGCAGTTTGACCACTGAAATTCTAGAAAAGTGCAAATAGGTCCCTCTTTGTCTGACAAACACTAATTTTAGTCTCTGTTGTTCTGAAAGTTACCAATTTGGTCCCTGAATTTCTGAAAATTACAAAAAGGTCTCTGGTTGGAAGAAGCATTGCCACTTACTCCCTATTCTTCCAGAAAGTGCAATTTAGCCACCATTTTTATGAAAGTTGCACTTTTGGTCCTGTTTATTTCAAAGAAATTTAGTTTAGCCCTTTTTTACTTTTGGAAAAGTTCTATTTTCCCCCTGAACTTCTAAAAAGCTCATATTGATCCCCAGACTTTTAAAAAACAGTTATGAAGTTGTGTATATGGTTTTAGGACCCAATTGTTCATATTCTACTCTATGATTTAAGTTCCATGTCTGATGAAGGTAGCTCAACCAACAAAACAAGCATAAAAAATGATGATATTACCCATATACTCAACAACCTATTCAAAGCGCATAATCCAAACCCCAAATAGAACATATCCGAAAGTCTTAAAATCAGCATCAACCTCGATAGCGAAAATTATGCATTATGGGCTCGCATGATTCGAGTGGAAATTAGGGGTAACTCAAAAGCTTTATTGAATCATTTATTAGTAACCCTCCAGATTCAACAGATGAAAGCTATGATCAATGGGAACATAATTACTTAGTTGTCTTCTCATGGCTTATACAAACTATTGAACAATGCCTTGCTAGTAACCTTACTGAGTTCCCTACAACAAAGCCATTATGGGATGCTCTTGTGGTTACATACAGTACTGGTAAAGATAAACTACAACTGTTTGATCTTCATGTCAAAGCCAATGAAATTAAATAGAGCGGAATACCCCTTGAAGACCTGTTGATCATTTTTTACACGGGATTTGGGGGGAATTTGAAAGAAGAGACCCAAATCCTATGAGTTGTACTGTTGATATAACAGCATATAACGAAATTAGAGCATAACAAAAACTGTTCCAGTTTCTGAATACCTTGGATCATAGGTACGACCCAATTAAAAGAGAAATACTTTAATGTGATCCTCTTCCCTCATCCAGTGGCGGAGCCAGGGTTAAAGTAAAGGGGTATCCCAATTTTTTTTCCGGGGTATCAGCACAATGGCTGAGCATGGGTCGGGTTGGGACAGTTTTTACCTACAACTGACAACTTCAGTTTTGAAACTTTTAAACCGAACATAACCCAAACCCATCGGTTCGATGTTTCGGTTTTCAGTTTGTAATTGGGTTTCCCCGATTTGGTTTCGGTTTTAAACCAAAACCTTAATCGAATCCTTAGTTAGCCTTAAGTCTTGTTATATAAACATGAAGTTGAAATATCTTTTGAATCAATGGTAGAACTGGTCCAACTGATTGGAAGGTCCAAAAAACAGGATGGCATCATATATTATATTTATTATAAAACAATATAAATAATAATATAAATACCATAAAAATGCGTTTATGTTAGTTGTTGGGCTGCTAATTAAAAAAATTAAAAAAAAAATAAAGCAATTATCAAGGTGAATAAGGACCGAAAGTTAGAGGGCCACTTTGGTATATATGTCTGTAAAGAAAATGAATGTTTAGGGTTTTGAAATCAATGAAAAAAATCACAGGACCATCCTCTGAGAAACTATATATGAGCAAGGTGTGGCGGCAGGTCTAGCTATCACATAAGTATAATTTTTTGCTTCTGTCGTTGATTTCAAAACCCTAAACATTTTTGTACTTCAGGTGTGATTTTTATTGTTTATGTGGTTATGTGAATGGTCGTTGATTCCACTTCGATATGAATCCTCCACCTTCAGAATTCCTTGCTTCTGTGATAGCTAGACATGCCGCCACACCTTGTTCATATATAGTTTCTCAAAGGATGGTCCTGTGATTTTTTGGTGAACTGTTTCTTTTCTTAATGTTGCATAGGCTCCTTCAGAATTCTTTGCTTCTGTGATACAGAAATCAGTAACCTTCATATGGGCTAAACTATTTGGGCCAACTCTATATGGTATCACTTATTGTATTAAAATGATGCTCTCTAAAATTTGCATTGCTGCCCGGGGCCTAAGCCCATTTTGCCCATGTATTGAGTCGGGCCTGTTCAGGACCCGATTCTTGAGATACATTTTCACTCTATGTATTCTACGATCCATTGTTGTGCTGCCATCAGAACAACATGTCCTGTGTTCCTCCCCTTGGGGCAACTCTAGGGGAATTGCCTTTGGGTGATGCCACTTGGCACACCACCAGTGGTGTTTCCATCAGAAACTCATGTCCTGAGTCCTTACTAGTTATCAAATATGCATCTCGGTGTACAATCAATAAACTCGGTTTATCTCGAAAAGAATCCCAACTACATTAAATGTATTCATAACACCTAAACCAGCAATAAAAAAAATTAATTGTTGATACCCTCTATTTTTTAACTCTATCATTATTTTCTCACATTAAAATAATATCTCTACTATATCACCCTCTCTCTAAAAAACATCACCATCATTTTATGAATATTATCCACATGTCCCTTCAGGAATCATGCATACATAATAAATCTTAATGAGTTTTTCTCCAATGGCGTATGGGAGACAACGATTGATAATATAGTCCTATTAGGCTCCATAACGCGTCACATTTGTAAAATAAAAGAAATCTTGTTCAAAATTATTATCAAGATCACTCCTAGTAATACTCTTTTATGTGAAAGTTAGAACTTAGAGTCAAAACATAATTATGTTAGAGACTTATTATTGTTTATGTATTTGTTACATCTTTGTTGAGTGAGGAGGGGTATTTATACCCTATCGGGAGACTTTTGGTAATTCTTTGTTTCTAGGTAATGACTTTGCACGTTGGTGATTATTGTGGCTCATCTGGAATAATGTTTTTTATATCCTTTCTCCTGATTTTCAGGATGTTGTTTTTGTACTGTGAGTATTTTATTTGTGTGTTTTCTAGTGAGGAACTTTTGGCCGGGAGTAATATTTGGTGTAGTTACCCGTCTTGCTTCTCAGTCATGTGGGTTATACGGTCCTTCATGCCGACCTCGACACACCAAGTGGGCTAGTGTTAAACCCCATTACACAATACGCCTAGAGAAAGCATGCTTAATAATTACAAATACACAAAAAGGATCAAAAGTCTTAACCTCACAAGAATATTATAAAAACAATCTACCCACTGAATTCCTATGAAAATTGGATGGAAATGGAATTCAATTCATGTTAGTTCATTGTTTCAACATAAAATTACATTTAACTGAATTCCTATTAAAATTAAGAAAACACTTAAAAAAAATACTAAAATACATTTTTAATATTTTACTTGAACTTCACAAAAAAATCTTTAATACTTGAAATACTTTTGTTCAAAACTTGTGGTTTTCTTTCCTGCTTTTTTGGTTGCTACTCACCTTGCACTGGAAAAAAAATCTTGTTCAAATCTGAAAATTTTGGCTCTAATCCAGAAATAAGAAGTTTTGTTCTTTGGTTCGTTGAAGAAATGCAAAATGGTCCATGTCCTGAACAGGAAATAAAATAGTTAAAGTAAAGATCTTTGAACTATACTCTCATCTAAAAGCCTTGAAACATTATGTAACGCCCGTAGATCCGGGCTAGTCAATTTAGAGATAATAGGGGTTGAAAACGACTTTTCGACAAAAGATTATTTATAATAAATAATCTTAACCAAGTGTTATAATATGTCTCAAGGGTTTCATACATATAAAGAACGCCGAAATCCGAGTTATAACGAAGAAGTTATGGCCCGTCGAAGTTTTACGGCAAAACCGGCACGGCACCGGGAGACGTAAATAGTGAATTTTTGATAAATGACTTTTTAGCCTTATCAATCAAAATAAAAGTTGTAATATATGATAACCAAGAACATACAAAAAAGAATTCCCAAATCTGACTTCGTTTGAGGAAGTTATGAGTTTTCTAAGATTTGGCATAGCAGTGCACGGCTTGAAACTCGAATTTTAGTTCGAGCGGTTTTTGGCCTACGCGACCTAAAAGAGAATTGAAGATCTCATTAATAGGAACTCAACGGTAAAAAGACAGACGAAAACAGAGTTCGTATGTAGAAGTTATGAATTTTACGCGGACATTTAACAGTATAATTTACTCACAGAAATTAGTAACCTTCATATGGGCTAAACTATTTGGGCCAACTCTATATAGTATCACTTATTGTATTAAAATGATGCCCTCTAAAATTTGCTTTGCTGCCCTGGGCCTAAGCCCATTTTGCCCATGTATTGAGTCGGGCCTGTTCGGGACCCGATTCCTGAGATACATTTTCACTCTATGTATTCTAGGATCCATAGTCGTGCTGCCATCAGAACCACATGTCCTGTGTTCTTCCCCTTGGGGCACCTCTAGGGAAATTGCCTTTGGGTAATGCCACTTGGCACACCACCAGTGGTGTTGCCATTAGAAACTCATGTCCTGAGTCCTTACTAGTTATCAAATGTGCATCTCGGTGTACAA